GAAACAAGAGCCCCTTGTGTTTACATAGACATCCAGAATTAATGGGCTGGAAATACAGCAAGCAATTAAGTAAGGGATGAATATCAGATCCTATAATTAGAAACATCATTACCTAAGAAAAATGGAAAAAAAAAAAAAGGGCAGGCTTTCTAGACTGCAAGCTTAGTATAGTAAAAGTGGTTGAAGTAAAGATGGAAAAGAATCACAGCATACATTACTATCAAAATAATACTTCCAGGGGCGCCTGGGTGGCTCAGTGGGTTAAAGCCTCTGCCTTCCATTCAAGTCATGGTCTCAGGCTCCTGGGATCAAGCCCCACATCAGGCTCTCTGCTCGGCAGGGAGCCTGCTTCCTCCTCTGTCTGCCTGCCTCTCCACCTACTTGTGATGTCTGTCTGTCAAATAAATAAATTAAATCTTAAAAAAAAAAAAAGATGGGAAAGGCCAATAAAAATAAATTTTAAAATAATAATACTTCCAAAGCACTCTCAAAGTATTAACCCCCACTTTATAAACTGAGGACAAACCTGCTTTCCAAATCAAGATCACACGCTTAAGTATAAAAACCAAGATTAAGGGGTGCCTGGGTGGCTCAGTGGGTTAAAGCCTCTGCCTTTGGCTCCGGTAGTGATCCCGGGGTCCTGGGATCCAGCCCCGCATTGGGCTCTCTGTTCCGCGGGGAGCTTGCTTCCCTTCCTCTCTCTGCCTGCCTCTCTGCCTACTTGTGATCTCTCTCTGTCAAATAAATGAATAAAATCTTAAAAAGAAAGAAAAAAAACAAGATTAAAACCAAAGTATGACTTATAAACTATGGCTATTTTTTCTAGGTTTACTCACTGGACAAGTTTAGATCTAAAGGGTAAGAGAAATCAAGAGACTGAGAACACTGCACTTTTAAGATAGGGAATTGCTGATTTATTCAGGAAAACGGCCGCATGACGGTTAAAAACAAGAAAAGCTTGAAAGATAATATGACCCAGTGTTTCCGAGTGGATAGTAAATCTCAAGGAGGGTGGCAACAAACACATGTAAACGAAATAAAACACAAAGTCCTGACAAGCAAAAGGGTTGGGCGAACTGAGCCGCAGCAACTACCTTTCTCCTTTGTTTAAGAACTTGTCTTAAGGTATGGGACGACCCGATGGACAAACCTCCTCTCCCCACCCCTTAGATGACGTTATCACAGAATCCTAGTAAATCAATTAGCAACCAGAACGGGACAGCTGCGGTGAGATTCAAGAAGGATGGAATTAGAGTGATGCCAAGCCACGGTCTTAAACCAAGAGACAGTAAACTACGCCACTCTTCCTCCAAGACGGTGTTTCACTCTGCCTCCCCATCCACTTTGACGCTCAACCCTCGGGGTCCCCATCCTATCGATCTATTTCTCCACTTTCTTGTCCCAAATTACCTTGACCGTCTCCAGACTGGCCCCTTCCAGCACCACAATAAGCCTTCGTCCTCCGATCTTGTTTCCCGCCCCGAGTCGGGGCCGCTTGGGAGCCACAGCATCCCAGCCCTCTTCCTGCTCCCCACCGCGCCGTTCACGAGGTTGGAATCTGCCATTGGGCGCAGCCATCTTGCCACCGGACCGGAAATTGCGCTAAGGTCCTTAAATTAAACCTTGGGCTGGTCCTTATCTTAAACTTCCTTCCTGCTGCCATTTTGAAAGTGGGCACTCGGAAATGGCAACAGCTAGCAGCCTCGAGCTACTGAAGCTCCTCTGGAAGGGCAGAGTTCCAGAAGGGGGAGGGAACTTCCAAATACGTAATTCCTGTGCGCGAAGTTCGGGTCCGCTGTGGGCGATGGGGCGGGTTTAGACGCGAGCGCACTTCCGGTGCCCTTTCTCCCGCGAGCACCTAGCGCCCCGGACCCTCGTGTGAAGGGTGTGATCTCTGAACTGGAGTGGGGTCGAGGTGGGCCGGCACGGGCTTCTGACCTGTGGTGTCGCTGGCCTCAGGATCGGACATGGCCCAGAACTTGAAGGACTTAGCGGGACGGCTGCCCTCCGGGCCCCGGGGCATGGGCACGGCGCTGAAGCTGCTGCTGGGGGCCGGCGCTGTGGCCTACGGCGTCCGCGAATCCGTGTTCACCGGTGAGCAACGTTTGCCAGCTCTCCGGATTCTTCTCATCCCCCCCAGATTCCCTGTCCGGTCCCGCCGGGGCCCCGCGCACACCCACTCCCTTTCCCCGCCCCACCAGCGGCTAGTACATATTCTCAGCAGCGTTTTAGCCTGATCCCAACCCCTCTCCTCACAGTGGAAGGCGGACACAGAGCCATATTCTTTAATCGGATCGGTGGCGTGCAGCAGGACACCATACTGGCCGAGGGCCTTCACTTCAGGTAATGGCGGGCCCAGCGGACTGACCCTGACCCTTCACCCTTGAAAGCCAACCCACCAGTGGCTGCAGTAGGACTTCAGAGAACTCCGCGCTGCCTTTTATTTCTCCTGGACATTGGGAGCTCCCCCAAACTCCTCTTCTCCAGAGGGGAAAAGAATTTCTCCTTGTCGGTGGTTATTAAGAGGTGGAGCAGGCCAAGAAACACGTGGGGAGGAAATACCAGGCAAAACTAATGGAACTGCAGGCTCCTAATACCTGTTCCTGTTCCCTCCCCTGTAGGATCCCCTGGTTCCAGTACCCCATCATCTATGACATTCGGGCCAGACCCCGAAAAATTTCCTCCCCTACAGGCTCCAAAGGTAGGTCTGGTCATTTGGTAGTCCTTAGCAGATGTCTACATAAAGTAAGCAAGGGAGCCTGGCAGGAGATCCAGGGGCAAGAGGATAGTGTCACGTCTCTTGGGCCTTGGTTTCCAAATCTGTAAAAAAGAATTGTAATAAAAGTACCTGCTTCTGGTTAAAGCAATACTTTTTTTTTTTTTTTTTTTTTAAAGATTTTCTTTATTTATGGGGCGCCTGGGTGGCTCAGTGGGTTAAAATCTCTGCCTTCAGCTCAGGTCATGATCCCAGGGTCCTGGGATCGAGACCCGCATCGGGCTCTCTGCTGAGTGGAGAGCCCGATTCCTCCTCTCTGCCTGCCTCTCTGCCTACTTGTGATCTCTGTCTGTCAAATAAATTAATAAAATATTTTTTTAAAAAAGATTTTTATTAATTTATTTGACAGAACACAAGTAGGCAGAGAGGAGGCAGAGGGAGAGAAGGAGGAGCAGGGAACCCAATGCAGGGCTCGATCCCAGGATGCTGGGATTGTGACCTGAGTTGAAGGCAGCCACTTAACCAACTGAGCCCCCCAGGCCCCCCCAGAGCAGTACATTCTTGACATACAGTGTGTTCACCCATACCTATCAACTGTCGCCCCCGCTAATGTAAGTTCAGTGACAGCACTGTTTGTCTTTTCTTATTCACTGGCTAGATCAAAGCCTTAGTGTAAAGTCTTGTCTTCTTTAACTGCTTGATTAATTCTGTCTGCTATTGTCCTCTGTCCTGGGCAGACTTGGTCCCACTTTTCACTGGAGCACCTGTTCCTTTCTACACCGTCCATAGAAGCTGTGTCTTTGAGATTCCCCAGACCCTTTTCTCACGCACAGGCATGTACACACTAATCCAGGTAGCTCACCTGTGCTGCACTGTTTTGTACTGGTTTTAGTGCAAATGGCTTAACATTCCCCGAATCCTAGGCCCTGGGGATAAAGGATTCATAAAACACAGTCCTTATCTTCAAGTCCATATAGTCTCATAAACAAGGCAGGTGATTACCAGGCAGTGTGAGAGCGCGTACAGTAGAGGTTGAACACAGGACAGAAGCAAAATGAGAGGTCGGCTCTACTGGTTGGAGAGCTGGCGAGTTGACAGGACTTTACAGTGGAAGAGGCTACATTTGGCCTCTCACCTTGCACAGCGCTGCACCAGGTAGCGAGAGCGGCATGTGGAGGAGAAAACGCTTGGAGAAGGGTGCTCGGCTAAAAGGCCAGGTGAGGACCCTGGAGCCTTGGCCAGCTGCTGCTGACCTCTCTCTCAGACCTGCAGATGGTGAACATCTCCCTGCGAGTGCTGTCTCGACCGAATGCCATGGAGCTTCCCAGCATGTATCAGCGCCTAGGGCTAGACTACGAGGAGCGAGTGCTGCCGTCCATCGTCAACGAGGTGCTGAAGAGTGTGGTGGCCAAGTTCAATGCGTCACAGTTGATCACCCAGCGGGCCCAGGTCTGAGCTGTCACCGTATACGTGGCTTCCCACCTTCCTTCCTAGGCCTGAAGCAGTGCATATTAGGAAGAGCAGCTTGTTAGAAAAGGGTCACGGCCCTAGATCCCTTTTCACCTCAGAGCTGCACTGATGGCCACTGTGGGAAATAGGGTGAGTCAGGATGGGTGCTTAAGCAGTAGGAAGCATGGTGTTTTCTCACACTAGCAAAGTCTAGAGGTATATAGGTTGGAGAGAGTGGGAAATGAGTCACTGTGACCTACTGGAAAGATTGGACCAAATCCCTTCCAACTCAGGTGTGCTAGTTGAAGAACCAAGAAAGGATTGTTTTCTGCCATTTTCTGGAGCTCTGATACTCAGACGATCACAGCAGTCGCCCTCCCTTCCAGTTCTCCAGTCTCTTCATTCCACCCCTCCATGACCCCCAGGTATCCTTGTTGATCCGGCGGGAGCTTACAGAGAGGGCCAAGGACTTCAGCCTCATCCTGGATGACGTGGCCATCACGGAGCTGAGCTTCAGCCGAGAGTACACGGCCGCTGTGGAAGCCAAACAAGTGGGTGAGTTACAGGAGGACTCGGGCCAGGGCTTCTGCAAATGCAGGAGGCAGAACGGGGTCCCTGAGACCTCACATCTGTGACACCCCCCCACTCTCTCCCACCACAGCTCAGCAGGAGGCCCAGCGAGCCCAGTTTTTGGTAGAAAAAGCAAAGCAGGAGCAGCGGCAGAAGATCGTGCAGGCGGAGGGTGAGGCTGAGGCAGCCAGAATGATATCCTGCTGCAGAGAGAGGTCTCTGCCCAGTCCCTGGAGTGTGATGCTTCCCCCTTCTCCCTCCTGGGCCGGCTGATGACACTAAGGCGAATGCGACTCCATGCTGTCTGGTCCTTGGCTCCCTGGGGGTGGTTTGGAATGGGATCTGAAATCTTAGTGGGGTGCCCGAGGCCTGGCTCCCCACTGTAAGGCAGATCCATAGCACTGCCGGCCTTGCCTCCATTTCTGCTGCTGCCTCCAGTTTCTGGCAGCTGCCTGCAGGGGGGCCCACAGGTGGGGACCGGGTGGGACCAGGCACGAGGTATCTGAGCGCAACCTTGGATCTGACAGCCCGGAGAAGGGCTGCAGTATTAAGACTGGGCCCGGGGGCTGCAACTGGACTTTGTGTGAACCCTTAACCCCAACCCGCTCACCTGGGAGAAGCCCTGAGTAAGAACCCTGGCTATATCAAACTGCGCAAGATCCGAGCAGCCCAGAACATCTCCAAGACGGTGAGTCTGGGAGCCCTGCGTTCCCCGAAAGGCAGCTGTGAGTCTGGAATCGTTTTAAGTGAAAACACGTTGGAGTGAGGGGATTAGAATCTTGCTCATTGGGGTTTCAACTCAAACCGGCTTCTCCAACACACTTCCTCCATCACCCATGATTCCTGTGGACTTCTGGCCTTTTTCTGCCTCTGTTACGGTGCTGATGCAGCACAGTCGGCTTGCTGCTCTGGATCTTTGTGAGCAGAAACCAGGCTATCGCTCGTTGCCGTAGCCCTGTTCCTAACCCATGTGTATTCGATCAGTGGTTCTTCAATTGCAAGCTTGGGGTCCAGGTATGAATACTAGCATCTAGTATTTTATTTAGCATCTAGTTTTTTATTTCTGGCCCTACAGATTGCCACATCACAGAACCGTATCTATCTCACTGCGGACAACCTCGTCCTGAACCTCCAGGATGAAAGTTTCACCCGGTAAGACACACGACTGATACAGTGGGGTGTCACAGAGCATGGGACCTGAGTCTGGCTGCTTGAAAGACACCCTTGAATCAAAGTTAGAAATGTGGGTGGTTGACAGCCCCCAGCTTGACTCCTAAGATTGGGTTTTATGGGATCAAAAGCATTCGAGCTGGGACGTTTGGTCCTGAGAAGTAGTGAAAGACGATACCCCATACTCTTACTTGGAAGCCCTAAAATTGCTGCTTAAGTGCATGGAAGGATGCTAGAAAGGAGAGGTGGGAAGTGGTGATGGCCAAGGGAACCAGCCTCTTCTCGGAGTGAGATTCCTGGCTTCCACCCATTTGTCTTTTTCTCTTGGGAGCAAAGTAGGATTTAGAGCAGGTAGGGTCTGAAACTGTCAAATCACCTGTGCGTTTCTCTTCTCTTTTGTTTCCCGATCATCTGGTGACCTGGTATCCACAGGGGCAGGTAAGGTGTTGACACCTCCTTGTTTCTCTGGGGTCTCTCAGCTCCTCTCCCAGTACCTGCCTCTTTCCCCAGTGCATCATCACACACGCCCCCTCGGGGAGGAGGGAGTGGCCAGAGGTGCTCAGCCTCTCACATTTATGTTCTCTAATAGTGTTGTCTGTCTGTCCCATTTCCACAGTGACAGCCTCATCAAGGGTAAGAAATGAGCTTGGTAACCAGGAACTCCACTCCTGGAGAAGAAGTGGATCTGTTCCTCCCCTGGTTTTCTAGGAGCCAGCTTGGGGTCCAGCACACCCCCCATCCCACCCCCAGTATCACGTGATGGTCCCTCCTGCATCTGTCCTCCCAACCCTTCTTGTATGAACAAAGCCTGACCAGTTTCCGGAGCAGTGATACCGCTCCTCCCTGTGTTGGCCAGAGGTGTTGGGATGGTGTGATTTCAGAGTGATTGCCTACAGTGTTGGTTCCTCCCTCCAGGTCGGGAGGTCATAACCATCATCCCAGGAATTCTCAATAAATTTTTATTACTTAAACTGAAGTCTCTTTGCATCTTGTGTCTGAGCTGGTTGAGGTGAGGCACGCATGCGTGGGTTCAGATCACGCACTCCTGGGTCTTTGTATCTGCCAGCAGGGGGCGCAAAGATTCTAACCATGGCGGTTAAGAAAGCGTTAAGGGCCAGACAGGGCCCTGCTGCTCACCCTCAAAGCCCAGCGGAGTCAAATCCAAAACAGGACCCAAGTTGGGAGCAACAGGGCCTCAGATCCCGTGGCCCAGCTGCCCTTTTCACTCCACCCTCCACTTCTACCACATCGCCAATGTTTATTCACCAACATTTCCTTTTTCAAGGCTGGAGCAGCTGTGGCTTTGCTGAGCTAGACCAAAAAAATCTGATGACCCTAACACGAGCTGGTTCCTTGGTAACAAGTTTCCATGTAGCTGTGAGGGAAGCTATTTGCGCCTGTCGAGGGACTCCAAAAGCCTAGCGGATCATGTTCCTTGCTGGGGGCTACCCACATCTGATTTCTCAGTCGCCAGATGTGAGAAGCTGTTTGTGGAACAAGGTTTTACCTACGGAGGTAGGCTCTTCATGCCAGTAGCCTTGAGCTCTGAACAGAGCAGGTGCCCCTTTTCAGTCCCTAGCCGGCTACCTCATACCGGTCCCAAGACACCGCTTGACAACTCAAGCACCAGAGAAACAAAGCCACGGCTTCCCATCCCTTATCTTTATAGGGAGACTGGGAACATTGGGAACCATTAGCACTGGGGGCGAAAGTATGTGCAGGAATTAGAGTACATGGTAGGGGAGGTCATACGTTTCCCAGGGTTAGGGATTCGTCTTCCGCTTCTCCTGGATCCTTGAAGAAAATTAGATTACCTAATGTTCCCCTGCTCTGCAGGTAAGTGCCGTAAAAGGGACAGGGAGATGAAGCACGTATGGCTTCCCACTCCTCAGGAGCTAGGAGCCCAAGATTAAATCGACAACCAGACAAAAGACAGGTCAAGTGACCTCAATCAGTCCGCCACGAGTTCCTATGCACACTTTATTTCTTTCCCCTTTCCACGGCGGGAAGAGAATGTAGGTACCCGGTGAAGGACTATGTTTCCAAGTCCTGCTGTGGCTCCAGGGGCAGCCATTTTGTCTCCTCCCCATTGTTCCCCCTTTCTAGTGATTTGTACCCCCCACCCAGAGGGGTAAAGGTCAGAGGTGGTTCATCAGGAGGCCTCCGTGGTCTTCAGGGTTTCCTGAAGGTCACTGCCGAGGGAGCCAGCCCGGGGGCCATCTTTACCAGACAGTGTTAGGAGCTTCACGATTAGACCATCCAACACTGTGCTGGAAGACGGACCCAGAGCCGGCGGACACGAGGCTCCCGGCCACAGCTGACCCGTTGTTACCGGGACCCTGGCCGCAGGCCAGGTGAGGTCTCTTGCGAGTGTGCGAGCCGAGCCCATGGTTAGCGGTGGGTTCTGGATCCACCAGATGACAAATCCCACTGGCGGGGGGGAGGGGCTCGGGGCCATTGTGTCCCTTCAGTGGGCAGCCAGCCAACCCAACAGCCACCTCTTCTGCAGCACCCTTCACTCAAGATGAAGGGACTTCCATGGTGTGCGGGGAGGTTCCGGAGAGGGGATTGCGGCCATCGGGAGGGGTCCCGAGGGCCTGAGGCGATAGATGTCGCTGACACGGAGACAGGGGCCTCCATCATTACCCGGCAGTATTAGAGACTCCCAACCAGCACCCAAACACTGCTGGGTAAGACGGGGGCCCCCACCCAACCTGCCCACCTCTGGGCCTGGCAGTCCTCCGCCCAGGCTCCCTGTGGAGAGGCTGCAGAACCTTGGCTCCCATCCCCCCACCACCCGAGTCCCTGGAGACACTTCCGGGTGAGCCCTGCAGCCCGCCACCAGCCCCACCCCGAGCTGCGGAGCCCGGGACACCCAGGCCGGTCTTCCTCAGCCCCCTGCCCACCTGTTCTCCGCCTTGGAGCCCCTTCCCCCGTAGCCCGCACAGCTTGTCCTGCACCCCCCTTACACACACTAATTCATCGGCCCTCAGCCCCGCTCTGTGGTCCCTAGCTCGTCCCCAAACTCCCTCTCCCAGTGGCCAGTTACCTGTCACCGGGCCGCCTGCCCCCCGCAGAGTGAGTGCCGAGGAGAGGAAGGGGAGTTAAGGCCCAAGATTCAAAGGCCTAGAGCCCGCCTGCCCCAGCCTCCACTCTTCCTCCTTCCTTCTCCGCCCGCCTGGCAGCGCAGGCTCCTTACCTGGGCCCCGCCCGCCGCCCCTGCGCACAGGTGTGTCCTCCTGCCATAGGCTGCCCCCCCACGGCCTTAACCCCTTCCCTCCCGTGGCCAGCCCTAGGCACCTCCTCTGAGGCGCTAGCTAGGCCTCGCTAGGCCTCCCACCCTTTTCCACATGTCCCTTCTCTCCTACCTGCCTCCTTTGCCCCTCGGCCTACACTGGGAGCCCCGTCTCCAACGGGAAAAGAGAGGGGCTCTCTTCCAGCTCCTTTGGCCTCTCCCCGTGGCTAGCCCCTTCTTCTGAGGCCTCCCACCCGGCCCAGGGCCAGAGAGCCCTGAGGTCAGCGAGGGCTCAGCTCGGCGGGGATTGGGTTGTGCCCCTAGCCTGTGCTGGGCATCCCTGCCTGTTGAAGAGAAGGCAGGGCTCAGCGGGGCGCCCCTTGTCCTCAGCCCTAGTGATGGGGAGCCCACCCCTCCGGGAGGCCAGAGCTGGCCAGGAGCACCAGCACGGAGCCTACCCATTACAAACCTCACAGGCGTCCTGAGAGGAGAAACGGCCACTGCTGTGGGGGAGGGGTATGGCAGGAGTGGGGTTCAGTGGGGGCGGGAGGGGTGGGCCGTGCCCCTTCAGGGCAGAGCTGTTCCCGGACCCACCTCAATGCCCTGGGTGCAAGTCCCAGCCCACAGGCAGTTAGCCCTGGGGTGGTTAGAGGGGTGGGACCCGCCTTTCTTTTGTGCAGCTCTAGCCGTTGCTGGGAGAGAAGCCCTGAGGCCCACAGGTGATGCCCCACCCACCCACCCCCAGGAGGCCAAAGGCTCCAGGGCCTATTGTGTGGCCCAATCCAAGCTCTCCTCTCTCTCTCACTCTGTCTCCTTTGTTTGCGTCCTTCTTAACACCGTCCGTACGTAACTGCGGCCCATGGCCCGTTTCTGGGTCTGTCTCCTAGCTCCATGCGATGGGAACTGTCGTGCCCACACCATGCCCCCAGGACGGCTCCAGTGCCTGGGACACACTGGACACCTGGCAACACAGCACATGCCAAAGACAGTGAGGGGGGACTGTCCCTTGGCCTCTCCTGCAACGGGGACCCTCACAGGCTTCACGGGCAAAGAGACGGGCTTTTCCAATCAAGAGAAAGCCTCAGCCCAAGGACAGAATCTCTGGTGGCTCACCCTGGACA